CTCCGCCCCCCTGCCCCCTGCGTTCACCCACCCAAGCCCCTCCCCAGCTCTCCTATCCCATACCGTCAGCCCCCCCGCAATCACACACCCTATGTGGCCCACACGCTCAATGCCTGCTGCGCCCCAGCAGGGCACCCGCAGCACACCCACAGACCAGTTTAATTGCCAGCTCCGCTTCCTCCTCCAGGCCCATCTAAAGGCCCTTTTCCCTGGCCAGGCTGCAGGACCTCCTCCTGCCTTGTCTCATGGGCCCCAGAACTCCTGCTCCCCCTCACTCCCCCCTCCGGGCCCTGCAGGCACTGCTCACCACCTGCCCCCAGAGCCCCTCACGGCCCCGGCCAGCGTCCCAGTGCCCCACCACTCCAGCAAAGAAGTACCCCAAACTTCACAGGCACTTGCCCTGACAGTCTGGGTGCTTGCCTGAGTTGGCAGCACCTTGCTGGTCACCCCACCAGCCCCCCACTGCCAGGCCCAAGCCCCACATCTCCCCATCCCAGCTCAGGTGGGCTGCATCGCCTGCCTCCAGCAGCCAGGGCTCCAGGGCCTGAGCTGGGACAGCAAATGCAGGGAATCCAAAGTGTACAAAATGCGGATGGCATCGGTGGCACCTCTTGCGGTCCACAGACCCTGTCAGAGGGGCAGCACCTCTCCAGGCCTCACCTGTGGCCTCTCACCACAGGAAGGCTGGTGCAGCACGTCTCTCTCGGCTCAGGTACCACAGCTGCTGTTTCCAAGGTAATATAACAATGCCAATTGTGCATAATTAATGTTCTCAACCAGCCTTACAAACACTGAGGAACTTAGGCTAATGACCTCGCAGGGGGACAGAGAAGTTAGCAGCTTGGCCACAAGCGGCTTCCTAGAGGTCTGCCCTATGTTCCTGAGCGCCATTCTGGGTGTCCTGGCCTGGAAGGCAGCCCCACACTTGTGCAAGCAAGGCCTGGCACCGTGGGCCCCAATCCCAGCTGAGATCAACACTGTGCTTTGCACAAAGGACATCCTCAAGGGGTGCCCCCAGGATCAGTGATATCACCCAGTGCTCACACACAGAAAGGGCGTAACAGCGCTCTGCCCCATTTCTGACTCATGCTGAGCGTGGGGATCTCTGCTCTAGCATTTCTGCTGCAACCGTTGCCCATCTAAACCATGATTACTGCACCAAACAGCTTTCAGTGGCAGGTCTCCCATCCCAAGCCTCATACAGCCCTGGCCGTGCCCTCCTCAAGCTCAGTTTCTGGCAGTTGTACCTACCTGTAAGAAGCAGGTCCCAACAGGGGTGTTCTCCTTCAGCGACACATTGTAGAAATTACTCCTGAACACTGGCTCATTGTCATTGACATCCTGCAGGGCCACATGCACCACAGCTGAAGAAGAGAGGGCAGGGGTTCCCCTGTCTGTGGCCAGCACAGTCAGCTGAGGCTGAGGATCCTTCTCATAATCCAGTGGGGCAGCAGTAGTGATGATACCTGTGGCAGGGTCAATGGCAAACCAGCTGGAGTAGGTGTCACGGCCATGCACGATACTGTACCGCACCTCCCCATTGGGACCCTGGTCCTTGTCACGAGCTGTCACCTGCAGGACAAAGCTGCCTGGGTACACAACCTCGGGGATGCTCTGTTTGTACTCCTGCTGGTCGAAGAGTGGAGGGTTGTCATTGATATCCATCACTTGCAGCACAAAGGCTGATTCTGCCCGGAGTGGGGGTGTTCCTGAGTCAGTAGCTGTCACCCGCAAATCATAGGAGTCTCTTTCTTCCCTATCCAGAAGCTGGTCCACACAGATAAGGTAGATGATGTTGTCCTTGGTAGTGAGGGCAAACTTGCCATCCCCTCCCTCCAGCGTGACATTGACATTGGAGTACTCGCCATAGTCTGGGTCGGAAACAGAGATGCGTGCCACATACTGGCCAGGCTGGGCTCCCTCAGAGATCTGAGGGGAGCCATCTTCACTCAGGAAGATTATAGTCATGGTGGGCTGGTTGTCATTGTAGTCACGCACATGAATAGTGACAAAGGCTGTGGTGACCTCAGGATGGACAGCCTTATCCCTTGCCTGCACCACCAGCTCATGCACCTTCCTTACTTCATAGTCCAGACCCTTGTTGAGCTTGATGACTCCGGTCCGTGAGTCAATGGTGAAGTACTGGTCAGGATCGCTCTGCCGCCTGTTGATTTCATAAATCACATCCCCATTGTCACCTTCATCTGCATCAGAGGCAAAGACCTGCAGGATGCTGCTGCCAGGTTTCAAATTCTCTGAGATGAGAGTATGGTAGCGGCTCTGGTTGAAGCTAGGAGCATTGTCATTGATGTCCTGGATGGACACATCCAGCGTCATCTGGGTACTCCGGGGAGGAGAGCCACCATCATAGGCTTCTAACAGCAGTGAGTATGATGAACGGTTCTCCCGATCCAAGACGTTGCTGACCACCAGGTCCAAATAGAGGACCCCATTGGGTCCTCGACGTGTTTCCAGGCGGAATGCCTGCCCCACATTCTCTCCCTTAATCACATAGCCTTGTGTATTGAGTAGGCCACTGTCAGCATCAAAGGCTGGGTCCAAGGGAAATCTGCTGCCAACGGGCGTGTGCTCTGGGATCTGGAAGGTGCTGTGTTGTTTGGGAAAGGCTGGAGCATGGTCATTGATGTCATTCACTTGGATGTTCACTTCTACTGTGATGCCCTCTGGGGTAACAGCAATGAAGCTGTAGTGGTCTCGAGTCTCTCGGTCCAGGACACGAGCGGTTTTGATGATACCAGTGTTCTCATCTATCCCCAAGTCAGTGGTAACACCGCTGCCCTCCTGTGCTGAGATGAAATACATGTAGGCACTAGTTCCAGGGGGCAGGCCAGCACTGATGTCCCCAATGATGGTGCCGGCTGGCTGCTCCTCATCTATTTGTAGATCCAGCGTGCCCAGGATGGCAGAGCCCTTCCCTGCTCTCAGGCTCCCAAGAATTAGCAGCTCCAACAGAAGCATGGCTGACCCCTTCATCTGCTCCATTGCTAGTGACTTGCAGAGCAGAGGGTTGCTCGATCTCCTTTGCAGCGTGCACTTTAATCCTGCATGGAATGCAGACCAGAGGATGCTGGTTAAGAGGGAGCAGCAAAGAAAGGACAGAAAAACAAACATGGAAGGCCTGCCATGTACCTGCTTGCCCGATTCCTCTGTATCACCTGTCCCTCACAAGGAGTCAAGGTGAAAATGTGTCTGAGTGGAGGGTGCCTGGAATGAAGGCCTGGGATGGCACCTAGAGTCAGCCAAGCTGGTCACACCTGACAGTGTGCAGAGTTCAGCAGCTAGTACCCTATCACGTTATTTCCTATGTAGTTAAGCGTTCCTCCCAGCCACTCGCCCTCCTGGAAACCCTGGACCCAGCCGCCCTAGAGCAGAGTGTTCTGTGCCTTTAATAGCTGAATGCTTCCTCTGAGGCTGAGAGAGGCTGTCTGCAAGAGGACTGAGATTTTTGGACAAAGAGCAGCCTAGCACCTCTCCACCCTGAAAAAAGCTGTTCTCAGATTGGGAGAGAGCTCGACAAGCGACTGTGACACCCCCCCCTCCCCCAGTGGGCCTTTCAGGACCACAGGGCTATAGGTGCCAAAAACCCCATGAAGTGCAAATCTGGTGTCCCTGGGAGGGAGCAGCAGAACTGGAGTGGGCTGACATCCAGTGAACAATAAATCAGAACGGCTGTATTGCAAAGGATGTACCCACAGCTGGGAATGCCCAGGATAAAATCAGACAGAGTCCATTGTTTGGCCTGGCACAGAAATCTGTGGATGCCCCAAGCTGGTACCATGGAGGGTGGTGGCAGTACAGTAGGAACGCAGGAACTCCCTCTGAACTGCCAGCTGCTCTGGCTCCTTCCCGGTCCCACACCCTCCACTGCTCACTCTCCTTTGTCTCCTTCTCACTGCTCCTTGCTCAGTCTGGCTCCTTCACTCCATTTCCCCCTGCCGTAGCTTCATTTCACTGCAGCAGTGGGGGAGGGACGAGCAGGGAGGAGCAGCTCCCTGCAGCAACACCACTACTGGACACACTGGACACGCTCCCAGTGCCTCAAGGCTGTCAGCCCCCCAGGGTTCTGCCCACCCTCCCTGTGAAAAGCCAGGGGAACTCAGCAGTCAAGGAGCTTGTGAAGAACACCAGCCCCAGTGCTGCTTTCAGCCCCTGGTAAACGAGGCTTAGTGGTCTGCAGGGATGGCGGCAGCATGAGCTCACACTTGGACACTCTTGAAAGCATTTGCTGCTGGTCCCATAACCACACTCAGGAGCCGCTCATGTCAGACACAGGATGGCAGGAACCTCCCTGTCTTGGGGGATGGAGGTGGCTGGCATTGCCTAGTTTGGGGACTAAGAATGTCAGCCCTTGATCTAAAGAACCCTACAGCAGTGTTAACCCTTTCAGGGGATGTAAGATGATTACTCCTAGGTCCTCTTTCTCACCTCGGATCAGCTGTTTTGATCGTTTTTTCCCCGTGGAAATCCTGGGTCAGTGACAGAAAGAAAAATATTAGAAAGTGTTTTTTGCATACAAAGAAGTGTTTGTTTGCTTCAGTGGGCATCCAGTGTCTGAGCTCTAGGGCCAGGAAAGCCACACACTCCTCTTGCACCTAGCAAGTACGAATTCTTATTATCTCTTAGGAGCAGAAGTCAAAAGAAATTACTTTTGTCCCTGTGGGCTGCTAGCTGGGGATCTCCCCTAACTCAGGAGTCCTAGACAGGTCTCCCTCTCTCTGCTGGAGCGAGTTGAATTTCCCCAGCTGAAGGGGTAACTGCGTACATCCAGAACATGCAGTGCTGGGGCAATGGGGTCCAAGTTTGCTTCTGTGGTGAACCTGCACCATCCTAACTGTGACTCAGTTGCTCAGGCCATGGGAGGGTACAGGACAGAGGGTTTGAAGCCTTGGCAGGGGGTTAGGCAAAACCTAACTAAAAAGGAGAGTAGAAAACTGGGCTTCCTAGGGCAATCTCAGTGGCTGAGGACAGGACAAAGCTGAACGGTCTTGGGTAGTGCCTAGAACAGATCAGGGCACAGATATGGGGAAAAAACCCAAACCAAAACAAAAACCACCTGGTTTGATCAGTGATGTGGCTCTTGAGAAGCAGAAGGGAGTGCAGCAAGGCTTTGTGGGCTGCTGGTGGGGAGGAGAGAAACTTGAAAAGCAAATCTGGGGAGTGAAGAGCAGCTGAGAGCACTGGAGCAACCAGGGAACAGAAATTAGGGTCCCTGGGGTTGAGAACCGGTGACAAAAGTCTGTGTAAACTTCTCCCTTTCCATCCTCCCTGGATACAAGTGGGTGGTTTCACAGCCCAGCTACCTCTTGGGTAAGAGATGCGACCGCCAGGTTGCCAGATTGCACCCATCCAGGACGTGCAGGCAGCCATCCACAGTACTAGCAGCCCTCTGTTCATATGAAGTTTGCAGACTTGGGTCACAGAGGAAGACAGCAGTGACCTCAGTGGATGCAGAGTCACCAAATCTGAACAGCTGCTTCCAATTAGCAGATAGCTCAGTACTGGGGGCTGGCTTGACTGGTCCAGGCCCAGGCTGTGTAATGTGAGCCAGACTGCCCTGCTCCCGCTCTGTCCCTCCCATCATTGGGCACTGAGTTCCCTAGCAAAAATGGCAGCAGAAGCCTCTGAAGAAAACTGCTAGCACGAGAATCTGTCCAGAGAGGCATTTGGAGTCAGAGCCATAGTAAGGAGGTTGGCGGGAAGGGCATCTAAAATGGAGTGAGCTGCAGTATACATAAGCATCAGCCTAGGGTTGACAGGCCAGGGCACCAGGAGGTAAATCACATTTAGAAAGAAAAGATAAGGAATTACAGAGGGACCACTGCATGCACCCCTGCCTGTCAGTGGCACCCCGCATCTCATGTCAGCTATGAGAAAGGGGAAGCAGGCCCACACCAGCCCCAGCAGAGAAGCTGGAAAGATGGCACCCACTGTGCATGCCACAAACAGATGTCGGAGTGCTTGCTGTGCAAAAGCTCCATCAAAGCTGCAGATGCTGCTGATGCCATACCCAAAATCTCACATGAGAGGCCGTGACTCATGTAATGATGTTTTTAAGACTCCAGTCCAGATGAGGAAGGATTCAGAAGACCATTTAATGTTTTGCTGAGCACCAGTCACTGACCTGGAATATACTTTTCTCTTCTACGTTCACACAGAGTTCACTCTCAAGCATTTCAGATTATCTGCCCTCAGAACCAACCCCAGCCCAGGCTTGCCTGTAGTGCAGCCTTAGGCTAAGAACTCACTTTCAACCTCTACTTAGTCTTCCTCTACCTACGGTCATCTCCAGGCCTCCTGGCCCTCCTACTACCTCCCATCTGGCCCTTCAGGATTAGCACCTTATTGCTCACTCCCAGCCCAGCCACGCAGCCTCATTTCCCTCTGACACCAGCTCTGAGCAGTGACCAGTGGTGGTGACCATTCCTCTCATGAGGATGCATGCAGTCAAGCTCCACTGCATCCCTCTGCATCCCATTTCTGTGCCACACCAGGGCTTCCTGTAGGCTGTCCTGTCTCTGAAAACACTTCCCCCACAAAGGAAGCTCTGATAAAATTTCCTCATGCATTAGCTAGTGCCCACAATCCCAGCCACACGCATCTCGGCGCTGACCTGGCCCCTGCCATACTGTGTAGCCATCGCAGAGGTGCGGCAGGGACTTGTCTGCTCCCTGTCCACTGGTGCCCCCAGGCTGTCAGGGCTCTCTCTCCCTCAGAGCT